AACTAACTATAGCCATATCTAACAGCGAAAATAACCAAAAATTGGCCATAGGACGAAATGAACGATCACAGAATAATAACCTGCGTGGATTTTCCACAGCCTGTTTCTCCCTTGATGAGTGTCACCGAATTTCTTGCAATCGTTTCGATTATCTGGGCGCGATACTGACAAACCGGTAACGATTCACGCTGGGCTCTAATACTTGGCATCACTGAACGCTTTCTGTCCGCTTGTATCAAATCCGCACTGATCGCATCAAGAGACATCTGAAGAAAAAGAAAGTTATAATAAGAGGGAATGAAATAAAGAGGAAAAAAGAAAATGGAGATAAGAAATGAAAAATAAAAAATTTGCGGGTTTATTGTAATGGTAAGAAGTGTTTCCGTCCAACAAGTCGTATACATTTCTTAACATTACCACAATTGGGCCTCGTCAGTACGACGATTGTGGTAATTAAAGTTAGTGAAAGTTTTTCAAGTAGCAAAATTTTAACCTCCTAATAAGACAGTTCGTACGGTCTAGGAGCGAAAATTCTCGAAAAATGAGGGGATAAAGCTATCAGTGGAGACGAAATAAATGTTAGTTTTGCCAGCGACCCCCAGCTGCATAGCTGGAGAACTAATCTATAACGCATAGCTAATCCAACACACAAGTAAGCTTCGTCATCCACAAAGTATTACAACACATACCTTAAACTACCAGTGTTTGTTTTAGGTGCCAAAAACCATTCTGTGATAGTTTTAAAGGTAAGAAATGTATAGGACTTAATGGACCGGAACAATTTTTAACATTATAATAGTTTTATATTGTTATAATAATGTTACTATTTCCGTAATTCTCATTTCCCACCCTTCCCTTTTGATTCTTGCTATTTCAATCGTTGCTAATATATCTTTTTATTAAAGTTTTATTAGCAATACTTACAAAAGCGTATGGTGGCTCGTCAATGTTTGCTGCTTTCCATGGGCTCCAATTCTGCAACGCTGGGCACCACGATACAAATCCACCGCAAACCGGTTCAGATGGTTCAAACTGCGTGAGTTTCTGTGAAACAAGCAGAGAAACGGGTGCAGCGCGTGAAGCATGCACAGGTGGTATCACTTCTTCAATGCCACACATTGCAAGGTACTGGCCAATTTCTTCCGAAAACTTTTCACTCACAGAAACAGGAATTTCCGATAACTGGAAAAAAAATCGTTATTTTAATACCACTTAAACTGTAGGAGTTCATCATGAGAAGCCGCTTCATTGTGTGACTTTGAAAACTCCACTTCTGCAGTGTCGCGAATGAAGTCCGTTTTGGGCTTCAACAACTTTTTGCAGCAAATTTGAGCCAGCATATTACTAATATTTATTCCCTCTCTGACAGCTGCGGACATTCGGAAATATTCCGAGGAGTGCAAATGCCAATAGCGACCATTCGTTGGTAAAGTTGGCGCTAGGACCTACTTTTGAGGACTGCTTAAAAGCTAGCTGACAGCGAGTTTAATTGACTAGCATATGCCACTTCGTAAACCTTTTCCAGCAAAATTCGAGGCAGCATGTTAATAGATTTGCTCTCTCTGAGAGGCGGAGACATCAAGAAATATTTCGGAGAGAGCAAGTGCCAATAGCAACCACTCGTTGGCAAAACTGGCGACGGCCTCCGCTTTTGAGAGTTGTTTTTTAGAAGCTAGCTGACGATGAGTTTGGCTCACTGGCATAAATGACAGTATCAATTTACTACTTGAGGCGAATGAACGAATCGTAGGTGGTGTAGTTACTACAAATTATTTCTTCCATTATTCTTTTTTTGTAACTTACATTTTCCGCTGTTTTCTTCTTTTTTTGCCCCGTATATGCGCTCACAAGTTGACTATGAAAAAGTTGTCGCATCAACGATAGCGCGCACATTGCTTCGGCAGTTTTCTTCGATGAACCTTGTGCTCGTGCCGAAAATTCTGTAGAAGGGACAATAAATTACGTGAAATGTGCAAGTATTAGAAATTTTCTAATCAAAAAATTAAATTTCAATATGCAGATTTTCTTGAAAATGCAGGAAGAATCGATGGCTTCGTGAATTGCCGGCACTGACTGCTGTGAGTTTTGGCAATGTGCCATCATTTCGGTAATTTCCGAGTGCTATTCTGTCTGTCGAGGAGAGTGAAGCATGAGTGTCGGATTAACTTGGTTGAAATGAGACCCCAGTCTCAAAGCACCCTGTGATCAGTATTCGGAGTGATATACAAAAAGTGGTGTATGTGCGTATGAGGATATAATGTATGTATGTATGTATGTAAAAAGCCCGTTTTCGCACTAGCCAGTAGTTCACTTTCTGGGTATTAAGCCTTTCGTATTTCTTCTTCCTAGTAACATAGCTGTGAGACGCTTATCCGGCTGCAGAGCTTAAGCGCATTTGGCTTCATTCGCGCATTCAACGAATTTCTTACAAGGCAACGACTTCAGCTGTTATCGTCCAGTGCATGTCCTTCGTAACTCGCTGTTTCATCTTCTCACCGTCATTCTTTTTAAACTTAAGCCGAATTGCCGCGTAGCACTCTACCTTCTTTGAAAAACCAAGATAACATGTACTCTTGACAGCACCGTGTGGGGTTCGTTTCATGTTTTGGGAGACAGTACTTCGGATAAATATTTCGCCGGAAATGTACCGTACATCGATGAGGAATTTCGTTCTTCATTTTACTTGGCAGAAAAATCATGTCCAACGATCTTGCGTTTTTCGGGAAGTATTACTAGTTTAACAGTTTCTTCCTCTTAACAGTGCCACACTTATCAGTATACATCTCTCCTTTTTTTCGTTGCTTCTAATACGAATTTGGCGCTGCCAAGAACAGTGCACTTCTTTTAAAACTTCTTTAAAATCTTTTTCTTTCATTTTCCTTTTCCCTCCCCTCTTCACTTCACTCGTACTCCTTCCAATCATATCGCTTTTTCCTTCTGTTTCTTTCTGTCGTTTTTCTCTTTTCCTTTTCCACTAAGCACTGCGACCGTCATAGTGACGAGGCCTTGTCGTGGTATTTTGTTAAGGTGTATATGACTTAATGGATCGAAATATCTCATCTCACTTTTCTTTTTTTATACTGTTCTCTCATGTTGTAATCTATCGCGCCTCTTCCATTGAGGCTTTCACGGTCAAACTGGTTGCTAAATCGGCTTGATCATAAAGACTGGAAATCTTCAACCTCAGCGCCCTTAGCGGCCGTGTTGAATGAAGATGTTGAGAGCCGAATCACTCGATTGCGGCAGAAATTTGAAATATTTTCGGAACATTTTATATGAAATTTTTTTTTAAAAAATTGTGACTCATTCAGAATAAGCTGCATTTGTGCCAATGAACAGATTTTGTGTCCTGTTCATGATGCATTTACACCTCCCCCTTTTGCAGAGCAACAAAATGTTAGCATTAACCTTTGCTAGCAAGGTTAACGCTCCGGCAAAAATGACTACGTAAACATAATGGCTTACGTGATCGGGTAACGTAAACGATCATGTCTACGTGACAACGCAGTTTCGTTCCTTAATGATGATGATGATTGGAGAAGATATTCAGCATTTGCGCAAAATTATTTGGCACAAATGCATCTTAATCATCATGACTGTCACGAATGAACTTTGATCAGCGGCGTACGCAGTGACAGGAGGAGGTTGGTTTTGCCCAAAAAAATACATCATCAAACCGAAAAGAATTTTGGAAGTAACCGAAAAAAAATCTCGAGGTATCCAAAAAAATTTTGAAGTTACTCATGAGATAAAAATTCCCTTTCAGCAGACCAATAACTTCACTAAGGCATTTTTCCTCTTTCAGTCGAAAATATGGGATGAGGAAAAAAAAATTTTTTTTCCTCTCCAAGTTAAAGGAGCCCAGTCTCACTTATGCCCTCACACCTCCTCCAATAAAGAAAAAAAAAAAAAATTCTGCGCACGCCGCCACTAAAACACAGAAATAGTTAAGGTGTAAGAGAGAAATAATTGCTACTCACTGCGTCGCACTTCTGGAACGAAGAGTGACACTTCGGCAACAAAAGTTCTGAAAATGCTTGGTTGCTGAAAATGTTGCTATAACCGCGGCGATATTTCACAAAAATCTGGTACCACCACTGATCTCGCCGCCAGATCAGTGGAAATTGAGTGATGACAGATCGACGGGACCAAATTCAAGGATCGTCTGGGGATGATCCACGAATTCAGCCCCATCGATGATACACAGCACTGATCGCCGTGCAGTTGTTGCACCAATACATTTCTGTCTTTGTAGCATACCCATGTGAAAGAGAGGGAAAACCACCGGTACTCAGACCACTAAAAGGTGGACGAAGAGACCGCGGCGGAGGAAAGGGACAAACGAGCAGGGCCGAAAAAAGTTTGTAGGACAAGAAAAGATGGAAAGTCAAAAAGAAAACTAAGGCAAAAAGCGCGAAATTTAACCGGAATTTCGCAATATCTCAACGGAAAAGGGTAATGCGCTAAAAAAATTAGTAAAAAGAAAAAAAATTCAAATTACTGTGGTTGCGGACTCAAGCGTCAAAATGTCACTGTGTCGTTCACTAGTGCTAGAATGAACTCGAGAACCTCACTGGAAGTCGAGTTAAATTTCGGCTCTTCATAGAGTCCTAGCAACCAGCCTGAGTACCTCATCGAAAATCAAGTCAAATTTGGTTCTTCTGCAAAGAGGAACCAAATTTTGCTGCGCTTTTGCAGAATTCGTTCTCCTGGACAGAACAGAAAAAAAAAAAAAAAAAGAAAACGTTTTTGTGTGTTTTCCCCATAACATAAAGCGTTTTTCATTTCAAAAG